AATTTTAGTCGAAAGCTACAATATTAAAATGTTTATTTTCGAAGTTACCGTTGTTTTATATTTTATTGAAATACTCAGTGGTTCCCGTAATTTTTACCGGTTACGTATGACGTCATTGACGTACGTCAACGAATGTTTTTACGATTTCATGTATTGTTTGTCAACAGAGCCCCCCCCCCCGGTAAATTTAGTTCTACAGCACTGCTACATGAAAGCCTTGCAAAGTCTCTATTGCACTATTCGTCGACTATTCGTCGCCTATTCGCGGACTATTCGTGCTATTCGTCGACTATTCGTACTATTCGTCGACTATTCGCGGACTATTCGCACTATTCGTCGACTATTCGCGGACTATTCGCACTATTCGTCGACTATTCGCACTATTCGCTTCACTATTCTAGTTTTATCAATTGCCTGTAAACAATGTAGTTCAATGTTATAGTTCTATAAATAGGGCTGCAAAGCTTATACATTTCAATCACGCAACACAAATATTTTAGTGATTGCGATTTGTTCTAAATTGGGCGATTGATTTTAAATTAAGGAAATTGAAGGCTCATGCATATATGCATTATATTTTCTAACGATCGATATTGTCATGTTTATTCAATATGTACTAGTTTAAAATATGAGCAGCCGATCTTTATCTGATATACAAACTCGAGCCGAAGGCGACAGTTTGTATATCAGGTAAAGATCGGATGCGAATCATATTTTAAATTCGTTGGCGAAGAAATTATAAAAATAAACATTGTCTAAGCCGAGAAAATCAAAGCTGAAGTTTATGTAAATCAGGACAAATCTTTATCCGATTTACAAACATTGATTAAACATTCATTTCTTTTATATTTTCCTCATGAATTATTAATGAGTTTTTAAAGTCTGCATATTATATGCCAGTCTGCAATTTCAGTTACATTTTCTGCAGTCTACACTATAGTTTACACTGACTGTATGCCATTTGTCATTATGTTCCGTTAGTATGTGTGGCAAAATTACATTTCTGGGAATGTAAACAGCATACTATTAAAGTAATCAATTAAAAATTCAGCAGTATATATACAGACTATAATAATAGACCATGCACGATAAATTAAAAGGTCGATGTGGGCCAGGCATTGCTTTATGGCTCCTTATACTTATAGTGTGCACACCCCTTAGTGCTTTCTGGTCAGTTGTCATATCAACTTTGCACTATCCTTGGGATCTCTGAGTTCTTCGTTTATTACGGTTTTAAGCAAGTCATAGCTCGACGTATACGGTATTTGCTCCCATGCTCACGTCGCCATATTCACTTCCAATTACTCGATTAAAAAAAAAAATCATCCCAAAACAAAGAATTCATGATCGATTTTTAAAAGAATAACCGTTAATTTGTAAATCATTGAATGGAAAGCAAAAAATCGTCAGCTACATAAACAGCTTCTTGCTAACTTTCTGCTTTGTCAGTCAATGTAAATGCAATGGAACTTTGATTCTGCCCGCGAGTTTTCGGTCAGCGACGAAAAATTTCCCACCTGTTCAACTTGGATGCTTTCAATTTTTGTGATAATATTATATAATTTATAAAGCCTCCGCTTCGAGGATTCAGCAATATATTACCCTCAGTGATGGGTAATATTGGGCCGTATCCCCCTCGCTCCGGGTCTATCAACGATAAATATTATACCTCAAATTCAAGTTTTGAATCAGGAAGCTAAGTTTGCGGCACGTGTGCATGAAATTTATCATCGAATCACCCGCCATATATACTTCATCGTAGCCTATTTGACGTAGCGGATGATCTCATTCATACGACATGGTGATTTGATCATATCACCCAGGTGATATGATTCTCGTAAACCACGGCCGAACACATATTCATAGCCGCGAACATTAACCCTATTGTTATATTACACACCCCGGTATATTATGAATACATACCGCCACAGAAGATCCATTTTTTCCTACACCGCCTTGGAATATTTCATAAACTGATAATATCGCGAAAACTATCGTTGGTATCAGAGCGCCATATAGAAACACTTCCCGTACCTCCAGCGTAAGTATTGGTGTCTGAAAGAAAATATTTCATTAAAGTGAGGTTTAAAAAGTTCTTCTAATGTGCGTGGTTTACTTGGAAGAATTTTTTAGTAAGAGATGAATCAAATGAAATGTTCACTAAAGTGCTCTTACAATTGGGAGTTTCTAGATATACGTTGACAAGTAACGATTACAACAGTCGGTTATAAATGCATTGTGGGCAATATTGATAAAAATGAACTAGTTGAATATGTTCGAAAAGTGTAATATAGAATACTGCAACTGAACTAAATCACATAACTTAGCTAATAGCATTATAAAGCATTAAGCATGCATGACATCGTCTATGCTATAACATAGCCGTTAGGGACGGACCATTAGAAAAGTGATGGAAGGGGGGGGGGGATTTTCTAAGAGGCAATATATTTTTTTTGTACATGCACCTATAGAATTTTTTTTTCTCACTTGATGGCTGGAAATATTTTTCTTTAAATGAAATTTATAAGCCTATCTTCCAAGCAAGGAATTTTTTTTGCACAATGCCTGGGAAGATTTTTTCCCCCTAAATTTTTTCTGGGAATAATTTTTTTTGGTTTTGCCCC